TAAGTGCTTGCTGCACAAGCATGAAGGTCTGAGTTTAATCCATAACCTACTTAAAAAATAATGACAGAGGATACTGGAGAGATGGCTCAAGAGTACTTGCTGCTCTTGCAGAGGACCTGAATTTGGTTCTCAGCACCACTGTGGGGCTGTTCACAGCTCCCTATAGCTCCAGCTCCAGGGGATCTAACACTGTGGGCAGCTGTACTCACCTGCACATACACACATACACATAATTAAAAATAATAGTTCTTTAAAAGAATGCTGGTGAAGACAGATAAATTCTTGGGGCTCACAGGCCAGCTAGCCTCGCTTAATTATAAAGAAGTTCTATGTAGAAAGTAGGAGAGCCTGTCTCAAAAACAAAGTGGACTTATACTGAGGAAAGTACTCAAGGTTAACTTCTAGCCTCCATACACAACCACAGATTTAAACACACCCACAAATTTACACACACACACACACACACACACACACACACACACACACACACACACACAATACCAACGCCCTCACCCCCAGGAAAAAATAAGGGGACATGAGAGTCCTTTTAGAGTCTAGTAACTATCTCCAGCTGAGAATCAAGAATTCAAGAAAAATTAACAAGAGTTGCTATGAAGGTTGCCTTTGTAAAGACAACAAATTTCAAATAAGAATGTCTAAATAGCAGTGAACTATGTTTACAGCCTATGAGTACATGACCTTTTACAAATATGACCTTATGTCTTTCCCATTAACCTGGAATTTTATGGGCATCACCCAAACAGGACTATACATTATTAACAGTAAAACATCTGAAGTTCTACAGTCCTTGATTTACCTACGAGGTAAATCCTGTAAGCCTATCCAGTACAGTTCGGGAACTACCCTGTTATCTTATTTAAGTTCCTAAGTAATCCTTTGAAACACCAGGTCTCTAGTCCTCAAAGTGACTACTTCTCAAAATCTTATCTGTCTGTCTGTCTGTCTACCTATTTATCATTGACCTAAAGAAACTTAAGGGTGGCTCTTGAAAACCCCACATCACTAGTGGGTGTGTGCTCTTTTTTCCCTTCCTTTGTCTTAGCTTCCTGCTTAAATTGCATTGATAAATTCCAACTCTGTTTCATACTGGCTTCTCCTGAGATTTTTATTTTTTATGTATTGAAGTCAAGAATTCTGCCTTATGGGACTAGAGAGATGGCTCAGTACCTAAGAGCACATATTGCTCTTCTAGAGGACTCAGCTTTGATTCCCAGCACCCATATCAGGTAGCTCACAATTACCTGTAACTTCAGCTTCATGGGAATCTAATTCTTCTGGCATCTGTAGGCTCTAGCACATGTGCTCCATAATTAAAAGTATTTAAAAAAATAAAAATAACTTTAAAAAAGAATCCTGGCTTTACCTGAGTGACAGTCAGGTAAAGAACACCTCAGGTTGCTGCAGGGAGCAGGGGAAAATCATTTTCCACTTTTGCTCACAATGCAAGTGGTTTCTGAGGATCTTTTAGAGGAAGTGGAGGGGCAGAGGTACCTGGGACCCATAAAATAAGGAAACAAAGGGAGAAGTGGGTAGGGGCAAGGAAAGTCATTGCCCTGTTGCTGACACATTTCCTAGAGCCTTCCACTACTCAAAAAAGATCCAGTGCCCACAGCAGCCTCCTGTCCAGTGCCATCATGAAGATGCAGAATCAAGATAAACACCCTTCTAGGCCTGCCAACAAATTCCTGAAATTCCTCCTCCCTACAAGCATTCCCATGCAACTTTCCCTTTCCGCACTGTGATCAACTTTTTGTTCTTTATGGTAAATTTCAGACAGTGTTTTGTTGTTTTCCTCTGAATTCTGAGCAGTGTATTTTGAGGAATTAAATTCTGTTCATGAACATCTTACACAAGTAATCTGTGAAGATTCTTGCCTGACCCCATGTTAACAATCTTTGCGCCTCTCTTGTCTCCTCTAGGCACACACACCTTACCAGAATGCATTTGGTTTTAGCTTCGCTCTTGCTTAATTTACAGGGTTGTGTGTCCTCATCCCAGCCTATGTCTCCCAGGTTTCAGGTATTAGAACTGCCTAGAACTAGACAACTAGAACTACTAGGTGCTTGAAGTAGCCATGTCTCTGGGTCTTGGAGTGCCTAGTGAATATCAGTCCTTGGGTCAACAATAGCCTGAGATGGGATGTGCAGCTTCTTAAGAGACCACCTGGGTGAACTGCAATTGGGAGAAATGTCCTACTATACTCTTCATCTCAGAATCATTTGAAATGACTATATCTGCATTGTGACTGAATAGTGTTATAGTCAATATTCCAATTTCTGTTCTTTTGAATGCTGTTCAAGTACCATTCTGTTGCTATGACAAACATCATAACCAAAACAGCTTCTGGATGAAGGCGTTTATTTCAGCTTACTTTTTCAGGTCATGGTCTATCACTGAGGGAAGGCAGGGCAGGAACTTGAAGCATAAAGCATGAAATAAGCTGTCTGCTGGTTTGTTCTTTGGCTCACACCCAGCTAAGCTGTTAAAACAACCCAAGATTACCTGTCTGGAGGTAGCATTACCCACAGTGGACTGTGACTTTTCTATATTAATCAACAATGAAGATAATTCCTCACAGATATGGCCACTGACCAATCTGATCTGGGCATTCTAGTAGTTGAGACTCTCTCAGAGGCTGCCAGCTGAGGATAATTAGGAAAATTACATACCAACAACAATTGACTATATGATACTTTTATTATCCGTGTGTGTGTGTGTGTGTGTGTGTGTGTGTGTGTGTGTGTGTGTGTTTCTGTTTACATGATGTGTTTGTGTTTGATGTCAACATCTGACATGTTGAAGTCAGAGAAAACTTTTGTAGACTCCATTCTCTTCCACTTTCAGGAATTGAACTGAAGACATCAAGCTTGCTGAGACATAATTTTTATTTTAAAAATAGCTTTTTATATATGTATGTTTTGCTTGCATATGTGTCTGTATACCATATGAGTACCTGGTGGCCTTGAAGGCCAGAAGATGGCATCACATCCCTGGACTACAGTTACAGACAGTTGTGAGGTGCCATGTGGGTGCTGTGAATCGAACCCTGGTCCCCTGCAAGAGCAGACAGTGCTTTTAATTGCTGCACTCCAGCCCTGTTTAATTTTTTTTAAAGAAGTAACCTATTACTTTATAAAATAATTGTACTAATTTTATATTCTTCCTCTTTAAAATTATTTCATACAGGTGAAATACATTTTTTTTTTTTTTTTGGTTTGTCGAGACAGGGTTTCTCTGTGTAGCTTTGCGCCTTTCCTGGAACTCACTTGGTAGTCCAGGCTGGCCTCGAACTCACAGAGATCCACCTGGCTCTACCTCCCGAGTGCTGGGATTAAAGGCGTGCGCCACCACCGCCCGGCACATTTTTTTTATTGTACACTTACCTAATTGTCTATTCACAACAAATCTCCCTGAGTAGTTTTATGTTTTTTTGTTTGTTTTTGGTTTTTGGTGGTGGTGGTGGTATCTGTGTCCTACTACATTTTACTAGGATGTTTTTGTATAGAGAGGGTTTATTTACTTAAGCAAGGGTGCCTTCCCAGTGACCACACCAATGAGAAATATGACACCCCCTCTTCTAGCATCTTTTAGCAGCTTAGAGCTCCATTGAGAAAGGTGAGGCCTTATTGCCTATCCCCCATCCATGGTGGACTGTTAATGTGCAAGTAGGCACTGCAGCTGTGAGTTCCTGGATGCAATAGGCATGCCGTTTCTGGAAGACAGTGTTTCCAAGTACTGCTTCCCATGCCCTCTTCAGTAATGTTCCCTGAGCCTTGGAGGGGATAAGAATAGGTGTGCCATGTACTGGCTGAGCAGTCAACACTCACTTATTCTCAGCATGCTGACCAGTTACAAGTCTCTATATATTAACTATTCCTACTGTGAACAAGTTTCTCTGACCAAGACTGAGAGCAGTTCTACATAATTTTACAACAGAGTATGAGGGTTTACCTTTAGTCACACCCTTGTCCTTTCAAATAGTTGTACTCTGTTTTTTGTTTTGTTTTTGAGACAGAGTCTCTCTTTGTAGACCATGCTGGCCTAGAACTCACAGAAAACTGCCTGCCTCTGCCTCCCTTGAGTAGAGTGCTGGGATTAAAGTGTGCATACCCATTCACATAGCTGTGTTGAGAGAGCATTATATTTATTCTGCATTACTCCTGGGGATTTCAGCCCATGGAAGTGGTTACATGCCCACTTAAAACCATTTGTTTTTCTGGGGTCCAGAGGGATTTGCATGTGTCCATATTCCTTTATTCCTAGAGCTTGGGCTAGGGTGGGGGTGTTAGCCTGTATTCCTTCAAATCATCTGTATTAGAACTGAGACACTCAATGCATGGACAGATTTAATGGCCCTGGAGGCAGTGGCTTGAGACTGGGCATCAGACTTTTGTAGTGAAACTGCTTAGAAACCTCTTTTAAAAAATTTCGTGGACCCCTGCATTAACACAGTTAAGATATTTGTTGAATTTTCTTCCATGATACAAATCAAGCAATACCTTCTATAAGACACTATCTTTGTTTCTTTCTTGTAATAAAATACACTGACAAAAGCAACTTAGAAGAGAAAGGGTTTATTTCAAATCATAGTTTATGAACATAGTCCATTGATGCAGGGTAGTTACAGTCGCAGGGGCTTGAGATAGCTGGTCACATTGGATCCATAGTCACAACAAAGGGAACACTGAATGTTTGCATGCTTAGCTCCCTCTCTCCTTTCTTAAAATTCCTTTGAAATAATACATCCATAGTGGACAAGTCCTTTCACCTCACTTTAAAACAACAACAGAAAAAAAAAAAAAAAACTCCTATGACAGCTTAATCTAAATAATTTGTCATTGAGGTTCCTTCCCTTCCATGATTCCACATCCTGTCAAGTCTTCAGTGGAAACCATAGTGAACTCCTCATTTTATGTTCCCAAAGCTGAGTACTTGGGGTTTAAAAAGAAATGTGTCATTACAGGGTTCTGTATCATTTGAGGACATCTCTTTGGACTTCACCTGGGATGAGTGGCAGGATCTTGATTCTGCTCAGAGGACACTCTACAGGGATGTAATGCTAGAGAATTATAGCAGCCTCATGTTTTTGGGTAAGTCTGTCCTGTAACTCTCTCCACCAATTAAATTCTTAGTTGATAATTATAAGAGTTATTGCTGACTCGTTTTCTTTCTTTCTGGTTTTTGTTTGTTTGTTTTTTTTGTTTTTTTTTTCAAGACAAGGTTTCTCTGTGTAGTCCTGGCTATCCTGGAACATGGTCTGTAAAACAGGCTGGCCTTAAACTCAGAGATCCACCTGCCTCTCAATTGCTGTATCTTAGAGTTTTATTCCTGTAAAGACACCATGACTACAGCAACTTTTTATTTTTTTACTTTTTTTTAAAATTCATTTTACATACCAACCACAGATCCCCTTCTCATCCTTCCTCTCAATCCTCCCACCCCTAACTAGCCCCTCCCCAATCCACTCCTCATCCCCTCTTCCAAAACGGTAAGTTCTCCCATGGGGGGGACAGCAAAGCCTGGTACATTCAGTTGAGGCAGGACCCAGTCCCTCCCCATTGCCTCAAGGGTGAGCAAGGTATCCAACCACAGGTAATGTGATCCAGAAAGCCAGCTCATGCACCAAGGGATAGATCCTGATCACACTGTCAGGGGCCCCTCAAACAGACCCAGCTACACAACTATCTCCAGTATGCAGAGGGTCTAGTCTGGTCCCATGCAGGTTCCATAGCTGTTGGTCTATAATTCATGAGTTCCTATGAGCTTGGTTCAGTTGTCTCTATAGATTACCCCATCATGATCTTGAACCCTCTTGCTCATATAGTCCCTCTTCCCTCTTTTCGACTGGACTCCTGGAGCTCGGCCGGGTGCTTGGTTGTGGGTCTCTGCATTTACTTCCATCAGTTACTATATGAAGGCTCTATGATGACAGTGTATTCACCAATCTGATTACTAGGGTAGGGTAGTTCAGGCATACTTACCACTATTGCTAGTAGTCTAATCTGGGTCATCCTTGTGGATTCCTGGAAATTTCCCTAGCATCAGCTTTCTCTCTTACCCCATAATGTCTCCCTCTATTAAGATGTCTCTTTCATTGCTCTCCCACTCTGTCCCTGCCCCAGCTCGACCATCCTGCTCCCTCATGTTCTTATCCTCCATCCCCTCCCCTCTATTGTCCCTGCTCATCCCCAATTTACTCATGGAGATCTCTGTTTCCCCCTCCCAAGGTGACCCATATGTCCCTCTTAGGTTCCTGCTTGTTTCCTAGCTTCTCTGGAGCTATGGGTTGTAGTCTGATTATCCTTATGGCAACTCTTATAAAGGAAAACATTTAATTCAGGCTGGCTTACAGTTTCAGAAGTTTAGTCCATTATCATCACAGTGGGGAGTATGACTGCTGGGAGTATGGAGCCATGCAGGTAGACATGGTGCTGGACAAGGTGCTGAGAGTTTTGCATCTTGATCCGCAGGCAACAGAAGGAGACTGTATCGTACACTGAGTGTAGCTTGGGCATAGGAGACCTCAAAGCCCACCCCCACACTGACACACTTCCTCCAACAAGATGACACATCTTAATAGTGCCACTTTCTATGAGCCAAGCATTCAAACACATGAGTCTGTCGGGGCCATACCTATTCAGACCACCACATGCTGAGATTAAAGGCATTCGCCAACTCTGCCTGGCTAGGATTATTGCTGACTTTTAATACAAATTATATATCATACATTTAACTAACATGTACTAAAGCACATATTTGTGGAGAACTTACACAGTTATATATTTATGATGCAACACTTAAAATTTAATGATGAGATGCAGGTGACCATTAAGTTGGGCATCTTAGACATTACTTGTCTGTATTGGGAATATTTAACATCTCTCTGACCGGTATTTTAAAATACTCAACTAATTGTTATGTACCATCTATCACTCATCAGCTAGGTGGTGGTGGTGCATGCATGCCTTTGAGCTCAGCACTCAGGAGGCAGAGGCAGGTGAATCTCTGAGGTCAAGGCCAGCCTGGTCTACAGAATGATCCAGGAGAGCCAGGACTACACAAAGATCCTTGTCTTGAGTGGGGTGGGAGGAAGTTACTCATCACTTCCATACGCATTTTAGTAAATACTCCCTATCTTTCATCCATTCCTCTCTCCCTTTTAACTTTTCCACACTCTAATAATTGTTGTTTTTTTCTCTGATGCTGCAGGGTAGCCTTAGCTTGCAAGTAAGATGAAAACTGTCGGGTGTTTTTTATGTTTGTTGTTGTAATGTTTTATGACATATTTAGATTATGCCTTTGAATTTCCTGGGCAGACATAAAGTGTTGGTTTTATGAGTTACACAGGATGATCAAAGAAAGAGGGTCACTCCAGCATGTAATCAGGCTCTGAGGCAGCAGAGGTCCAGCCTTGATGGACTGAACCTATAACAGCCATGTGGAAGCATATTTATGGATTGTTACACAAAAGTATTTTGGGTAAAACAGATTCCTCATACCAAAGCCTCTGATCTAATCTATATGTTTTGTGAAGGAAAACATCACACCCCCACACATTTAGTTTGTACTGTGCACTGTTTGCTGTACCCAATAATGCATGACGTTCCAGGTGTGTCAGGACTATCTTGTGACTAAAGTCATGGAAAGGCTTTAAAGCTCCTTCAGAAAAAACAACTCTATAAATCACAGAAAACAATCACCATTTTTAACTTCAGCACAGTGGCTGTGCCCTAGTCTACTGTTATTTCAGCCAGAAATTGCAACTCTGAAGTTACCAACCTGCTTCTCTAGAAGTTGCCTATCCACTCAGGCTGTAACCTAGTGGGAATTCTGTTCCTGAAGGCACCAGCTCTGTCGCTGCCACTGAATGTACCTTTAATTAAATCTATTGTTCTGTTTATAAATAAGACTCAAGATTCAAAGGCTGGGGTGTAGCTAGAGAATTTTTCTCCAGCTCCCACCACCAAGTCCCGCCAGTCCCAGAGCCCACTTATAAAACAAACACACAGACTCTTACATTATTTAAACTGCGTGGCCATTAGCTCAGGCCTATCATTGTCTAGCTCTCACTCTTATATTCAGCCCATTTCTATTAATCTTTATTTTGCCACGTGGCTCATGGCTTACCGGTACTTTACATCTTCCTTGTCTTGGCGGTGGCTCCAGCCCGTCTCCCTTTCCTTCCTCCTTCCTCAATTCTCCTCTCTCCTTGTCCCATCTATACTTCCTGCCTGATCACTGGCCAATCAGTGCTTTATTTATATTGAGCGATATCCACAGCACTGGGGTGAAAACTTGCAAGCTCAGAGAGGCTGAGTAGCAAAAAGCTAACCTTCTCTCCCTGCTGGCATCTCTGAAAGACTGTACCTCTACTCTGCCAAACCAGAAAAACCTGTGCCACTCCAAATCCCACCCAACTACTTCCTGTGTCTCTCTATCTCTCCTGGAAGCCCTTTGATGCTTTATGCTTTATTACTTTCTGTCAATTAGTTGCTAACTCAGCCTCCTTACCCAATGTTAATTGTAGGCAAAGTTTTCCTGTCCCAACCACCTGCTCCCAAATAACCACTCAGGGTCTTAATATTAATTATAAATGCTAGGCCAATAGCTCAGGGTTATTACTAACTAGCTCTTACTTTAATTAACCCATTTCTATTCATCTAAGTGCTACCCCAAGGCTCATGGCATTTACCTCTCTGGCATATCTTTCTTCCTCTCCATCTGCTTGGCAACTCCTCTGATTCCATCCTTCTTTTTTCCAGTGTCCTTAGTTTGGTTGTCCCACCTATTCTTCCTGCCTGGCTACCGGCCAGTCAGCTTTTTATTAAACCAGTCTGAGAGATAGATTGTCACCGTGTACATAAGGATTATTCCATGGTATTTCCCTTTTTTGCCTAATTAAAAAGGAAGGTTTTAACTTTAATACAGTAAGATTATATACAACAAAAACAATTATTAAGTAAGAATTACAGTTACAATATCAAGTCCAGTTGTATTTGCTGCCACCAGAGGCCACGTCCATGTCAGTAAACTGTATTACTGCCAGAATCCATGTGGGTGTCCACTGTCTGTGCTCCTACTGGGGGCCATGTTGATGTTTATGGTCCAAGGTACCACTGAGGGCTATGTTAGTGTCCATGGTCCGTGCTGTGGCTAAGAGGTCTTATTGATATCCATGGTCTGTGCTGCTGCCATAGGCCTTGTTGATGCCCATGGACCATGTTGCTGCAAGAGGCCATGCTGATACTGGTGTTACTGCCAGAGGCCATGTGAATATCCATGGCCTGTGATCCCACTGCAGCCATGTTGATGACCATGGTCCATGTTACCACCAAAGGCCATGTGGATGTCTGTGGTCTGTACTGCTGCTGAAAGCCAAGTTGGTGTCCTTGGCCCGTGATGTAGCCAAGGACTGTGTTGATGTTCATAGTCTGTGCTGTCACCAGCAACCATGTAGAAGTACATGATCCAGTATGCCACCTGCTGTTATGAACAAGGAAGCTTCTTTTGCAGTGGTATCAATGATGACTACAGACTCTATCCCCACATGGTGGAATGAGAGTAGTAACTGCTGAAAGTTGTTCTCCATCCTTCATATATATGACATAGCATGTTCATACTCAAATATAAATATATACACATACACACACACACACACACAAATAAATAAATACATGCAGTAAACAAATTTTAAAAATGGGCTTGTTGGGCCTAGAGAGGTAGCTCAGTAGTTAAGAACATTTGTTGCTCTTGCCTAGGATTCAAGTTGGTTCCCAGCACTCACATGGTGCCTCACAACCATTTCTAACTCCAGTTCCAAGGTACCTGATGCCCTCTTCTGATCTCTATAGTCACCAGGCATGTACTTGGTACATACACAAACATGCAGGCAAAATCCTCATAAACATAAAATGAAATGAATCTTAAAGAAAAGTGGATTCGTCATTATGGTTATTTGGTAAGGGACATATGTAGTATGGCCAAGATTCTACATGTAATATTCAGCATTACCAAAAATAAATACAAATAAATAAGCACCTTAACATATTGGGCCACTCACCATCCCTACATGTCTGTTTTATACAAACCA